CCTTCCTCGTGGCGTTGTTGGGCCCATAATGTGAAGGACGTGCTGACTTGTTTTACGATGTACCACACCAGGGAATGCAGTGCGTAATTTTCTGTTAGATTTGGAAAAGTGCAGGCTTTATATTAAAGGTTCATTTCTTTTTCATCCTTCAGCTAACTCATTTGCACTGTAATGTACTTTCCTATTCCTCCTCCTGATACTTGCTGCTTTTATACCTATTTTCCAAGCCATATTTTTAGTCTAATCCATACAGCAGTTGTCTAAAATTCCATAGCATTGCTTATTTCTTACCTATAACTCTTAATAAAAAATAGGGCTGTGCCAACCTATTATATCCTTAATAGAATATTCTAATGGTTATTAAATCAATTGACTCTGAATCTCACTTTAATAAATGAGTCAGACAGTATTTTCCAATTACTGTCAGCCGCCACCTTTCCAAAGAGCAGATTATTTTGATTGAACTTTTTAAAGCTGCTCAGCACTTTTTTTTAATTTTTTTTTTTGCTTTTTTTTTTTCTGCCTGAGTAAGAGCAAAGAGCAGCAGCTCTGTTCTGCAGGGAAGGAGAGCCCTTTGGACTGTATCTGACACTCCATTCCATTTCAGACTTATCCCAAATGAAAACGGAAAATGTGACATTTCACTGGCCCTTTATTTATTAATGATATCATATTTTGCACTTCCATAGTACCCTATCAAATTGTTTGCTAAACACAGAGAGCTAGACAGGGGCCACTGCGTAAACAGAGCCTTTTGCATGCTCTTTCCACATCTGGCACCTTTGCAAGATATGCCACATCCTGGCTCTTTCATGCCAGTGGCAGATAAAAGGCTGATTGTGCTTTTAAATTGCCTATGGAGAGCGGAGAACAGGGACAAATCCTTGTTGCCCCATCATTCCACAATGCTGTGTGATCCAGGCAAGTTGTGTGTCAAGAAATATAATCTTAAGCCTTTTCAAAGGCAGATGGCAGTGACTCTGGGTCTTCTGAGTATGGTAGATAGTCTTGGACTCTTCTCCAGCTCCACTGTCTTGGTTGTATTACAAGTCTTAAGGGATAGTAATTAGGTCAGCCTGTTAAAGTAGAAATTAAAAATTAGCACCTCTTCTTCAAAGATGGATAGTCTGAGAAATACAAGCCACACTGTCATGCCCATGCTGATAAGAGTATGTCCATGTTGAAGTTTGGAATGAAAGCTAGCACTCCTGACTCTTTCTGCCAGTTCTGTACCGTTAGTTGTCTTCCTCAAATTTAAATCATGGCTGGTCTCACATTCTTAAATTCAAGGACTGGAACCTTGCCCTTTGTTCCAAGGATGTAACAAAGCTGGTGATGTGCACAAAATTGGTGAAAACAGTGGGACTTAGGAAAAATATTATTCTGTCAGTTATACAAATGCAGTCTTATTTTAAATATGGTCTTTAGCACTTGGAGACTAAAAGCATTTCACTTTTAAGAGAAACTTAGATTCTGCACAAATTGATGTCTCTTGCCTGGGGAAGGTTTTTATCTGCCCCAGGCAAGTGGGTGAGGGGATTTTTCAAATCCTGTTTATAAGCCTTTAGGAAAAACACATTTGCAACATAGAATAATCAAAGTTATTTTGATATTTGTGACCAGGAAGTCACCTTGGATCTGAGTAATATGGGAAATAAAGTAAGGGTCACATTTAATGGGGTTCAGTTCTTCTTGAACAAGTACAATTTCTGTGTAATTAAAATTAATTTTGCTTCAACACTAGGAAGCAAAATTTCTTCCTACTTTTTTCTTCATCAACTAAGGTAATGGAAAAACAAGAAAAAGCCTTCTCTGTCTTCTGTAGCGTCATATAAAAATATTTCTTTTTCAGAGGTCTTTCTTCCTTGGAATGTTTGAAGAACTCCCCATTCCATGTTCCCATGCTCAAGAATGATTAGCATGGTTCATTTACACTTTACCAACAGTAACTCTGTGATGTGAGAATTGTCATTGATTGTTTTCACCTTGCCTTGTGGAAGATCCTGAGATGGAGCTCCGTTTGTCCTAATTGCTTTGACTGTGTGTATCAGCACAAACAGGTGCTTCCTATCTTGTAACTGCCCATTGTGGGGAACTTTCACCATCTCCAAAACTATCTGTTCAGTAATGACCATGGCAAAGATATGCATATAGGAGAAATATTGTGTATCAGTCTGTACAGTCCTCATAACTAATTAGCAAGTTCAGGAAAGAAGAGGCATTTATATAAGATTTGTTGAGCCCTCCTCCTCTTTTCAGGATGCTGTTCTGCAGCTTTGCCTTCAGTTGTGGGTTGCTGCCTGTTGGAAGTACACAGCTTACAACCTGCCTTGGAGGATGTGTCTGTGTCTCTTAGATCTACAGACTGGAGTGTGCCAGGTTCTTTTCCTTCATGCTCCCCTTGGTGGTGCTTGCATAGGCTGTATGTGCCCTCTCTCAGCAGTAGCAAAGGCAGAACACACTGGAAAAGTTTGTCAGTGATGGTGGAAAAAGCCACATCCCAGGCAACTCTTGATAATCCACTAAAATTTTCCCTGCTAATTAAGTAGTTAGCATATATTTGATAAATATTTTAGATTTTTTTAGATTAAGAGTTATAAAAGGTGTTACCTACAAGATGAGAAAGTGTTACTCACCCTTAACCTTCCCTGAAAGTCTTTTGCAAAGAATTTTATCAGCTTTTGTTCCTGACTACCAGTGTATGTGGCTGGGTGGGACGTGTACCCAGTAGCCTGTGCTCTGTTGGCACCATATTCCAGTCTCTCCAGAGAGGCCATGGTGTTCAAAACGGCTGAGATTGACCTGAACCTTTGCCTGAGTTTGTGTTGACAGCTGTCCTCAGTGGATCCAGCTATAAACTGGTGCCTGGTCAGGCAGGCTGGGAGTCAAGTTCTTCTGTCTCATGTAGGTAATAGAGACAGGCACTTCATCAGCAACATTCTGTGGGCAGGGGATTGCCAGGACCACCAACATTTTTCAGCTAACAGAGCAGGCCTTCCATTTCACACCCTCTAAAAGTTCTGCAGCATGTAGAGATATGTGATGATGCTGAACGACAGAGAGTCTCCAGGCAGGTGCAAAGGAGAGCCCTTGATTACAAAAACAAGGCCTTTTAAAGCAGTTAGCCCATTACCAGTTTACATAGTTTTAAGGCACAACAAGCCCAAGTCAACCAACCACCGTGCATCACAATGTGGACACGCGGCAGTCACACAGCACGTCTCTTGCGTCTCTCACATCTCTCACATCCCTCTACCCCTATTCCAGCTGAGTCAGTCTCCTACAGCTCTCTTCTACTTAGCCTAAGAAGCAGGCCTGAGCCATGATTGTACAAGGGTAACAAGGCACTTATTTTCTAAGGCTTTACCTATATGCAACAGAGGTAGTCAGGAACACTGAACACTGCTTTCAGGAAGGATTGGGTAGAAAAGGAAAGGAAGTTTGCAGTTTGCTGTGTCTGTATGGGAGTGATGTAATTTTGTGTAAACCTTTGTCTTTGTTGGGTTTCATCAGTCCCTTTTCATTGTGAAGAGCTCTGACACCTTGTAGAAACCACACAGTGGTAACTTTCAGTAGTCCCACCTGCAGAATGGCCACCACTGCCTGGCTTAGCTCACACGGTCTGATTCCCCCGCTTTGGCTAGAGATGCCATGACTTACGCAAAGGCTAAATTTAGCTTTTGGACTAACAAGAAGTGAAAGCTGGGGGCTACCACTGACATTTTTTTCAATTCTTATAAGTCACTAAGGGTCATTTGGGTCAGGAATGTGCCCCCACTCAGCCACAGAAGCACCATGTTGTGCTGTCTTTACACCAGTGGAAAGGATTGTCATATGGGATGTGCTCCCCGTGTCCTTCGCAAATGCCTGTCACCAGGGTCACTCACGGGCACTGCAGGCAGCGCTGTGTCCAGCAGGAGGTTGGCAGCCTGGCATTTAGATGTTCGGCATGGGCAGGGCGCTCCCCTCAATCGCCCCTTCCCAGCTGAGCAATGGCAGGGAGCTGCGCCAGTCGCCAAGCACTCCATTCCCGCTTGTTTTTTAATAATCAGATACAGTATTTACCTGCGAGATCAATGCTACCCGTGTAGCACACCGGTGACATACAGAAGGACCTTTTCTAAGCGGCGCTGTGGGAATTGAGGCCTCTGCAGCAGGGCTGGAAGCCACTTCTTACCTAGCAACTGTTTCTAAGTAGGACAGCCGCTGACTGCCCTCATGGCAGAGTGGATGAATCCTGCAGCACCCTCAGGAAGGGAACCTGGTGCCAGGCACCAGCCGGCCTTGGAGGACAATGGGAGGAAGCAGAGGAACAAGCGACGGGGAGCGGGAAGGGTTTTAAAGCCACAGGACGTGGAAGGGAAAGCTGCGTCAGAAGGCGCATGGGGACTTCTCTGGGCTGTTCGGAGGAGAAATGCAAATAAAGAGGGGAAAAAATCCAGGATTGTCAGAAAGGGAGGTTTGAAATCCTGCAGCTTGCAAAAGGTTTCATGTATGCCCACAGGACTGGGAACATGTAGTAGGAGTGATGTGAGGGTATAAACTACACACCCTTCTCACACTGGTTACAAGAAACTCCACCTCAGCCAGAGTGCCAAAAACAGCATTCACAGCTCTTACCCGTGGTAGACAGGATGATGTGTGATCAGCATTAAATTCCTCACGTGCTGTTTTGCAAATGTACTTGGTCGTGACTGGGTGGCTCTGCTAAGAAATGATGTTTCAGGTCATAGTCATAATTTCCTACTGAAAGCTAATGCTCTGCATTCCTGCGTAGTGCTAATTATAAGTGGAAAACCTGTGCTTTTAATGCCCAGTCAAGCTTTGGATATTCTGAAACATTCTGGGTAAGAAAACACTTCAGCAATTGTAGGTGCTGAGGGGCATCCAGTTTCCTGAGCTTAGGAAAACAAAAAGCTGCTCCAGTTCACGGATTGTGTTGGACTTTCTCTTTGTAAGGTCTGTGGTGAATTTCAATTTTCCTTTGATTTCTCCTGCAGATGAAGGACTGAACCATGAATGCAAACTCTGCAATCAGACATTCGACTCTCCTGCCAAACTTCAGTGCCACCTGATAGAGCACAGCTTTGAAGGCATGGGGGGCACCTTCAAATGTCCCGTGTGCTTTACAGGTAGGAGCCCATCACTGCTTGTCCCAGTCATGCCCTTAGCTTGACCTTGCAGAACTCCCTGAAAAAATGTGTTGTGTGCTGGCTTTAGGTCAGCTTTAGGAGGGAACATTACATTTTGCTCATTAATAATATTGATTAGAAATCGTTTAGAAAGCTGAGCTCCTTGGAAGGTCAGTCATCCATCTGTAAGAAGTGCATTTCAAGCTCTTCTATCGGAAGTTTGAGTTTTTTATAATTACAGAAGTGATAGTCTGTTACCTTCCATGGGATCATGTTCATTACTTCCATGTTTCAAACCTGCCAAGGTTAAAACTGTCCATAAATTTGTGCTTTAAAGCTACAGATGCTTCATCTAAACCCGTAAAACTCAGAGCAGAATTTCCCAGGCATAGCCTATGCAGCAGCATTCTCCTCTGATGGGCTAAGAAAGCCAACATGCATGTGTTTGTTGGCTTGTGGTGAGAAGAAACACCCTTGTAACGTGCTTTAGAAAGCAAACCATGCTGTCTTGCCACAAGTCAAGCTCTGCTCTCCCCTGACACAAGTCCAAGTGTGGAATAATCCTCCCCAAGTCAGTGCTGTTATTCAGTAGTAAAACCCAAGTGAGAAAATAACTTGACCCAGTAGGGCTAAGCACTGCAGTGTTTGGGCCATAATGAAGAACAGAAAAATGCTGTTGTTGGAAATAAAAACACATTAAAAGGATGCCTACTGGGTTGTTGTGAGTTTTTTTAAGGACTTCCTAATAGAACGTTTCATAAAATGATAACCTAAAACATGAGTGTTACTATGTAGCTTGCATTCCCAATTTTGCTTTAAAAGATGAAAATCAAAGATAATCACAAACATGACAAAACACACTTTGGGTATTCACACATCAATGGCATGCTAATTCTGGAAGCCATTCAAGGTTTCTGTTTTCCATTAATGGAAGTGAAGGATTTTCATTGATAAGCAAATAAACCCTTTAATACCTTCATTTTACTCCTCTTTGTTTGGCAGCTCCACGCCCAGTGAAACCTAGGCGAGTGCTACCAAGGAAAATTAAATTTGAATTTTTCATCTTTCAGATACAGTGGCTGGTGATGATTATTACCTCTCTGTGTTCAGGTTTTGCACATTTCTGTGGGTTATAACATTTAAAAAGTACATAGTTCCTCTTCACTGCACAGCTTGTCTGAGAATGGGTAGTAGCACCACAAACAATTTGTCTGTAAAGTGTCTGTTTTCAATAATTCTTTCAGTTAGGCATTCGATCAAGTTTTTAGTTTTACTATTTATTCTACCAGTTTTTTTCCTGGTTTTTGTTTACACATTATGGTGTGATCTTTTTGTCGGTGTAATGTCATGGATCTTCTGTTTCCATGTTCGGGGTGTTGTAAATGCAACATAAAAACTTGCATATGTAAAGAGTACCCACTGAGGGTTCTCCATGTGACCAAGATGCCTGATAAAACTAATCCTTCCATTTCTGAGCCAGTAGCCTTGTGAAATTTGTTAAAGAGTTAAGATAAGTCGATTCCAATCTGTGTGAAATACTTCTTGCTTTTTGCTGATGGGGTAAATAGACAGTGAGCATTAATCACAAACAATGATGCTTTATTAGCAATATGCCATTAAATTACTTCAGCACATCTTGCTAGAATATTCACAAGAAGTAAAAATCACCAATATAAGTTTTATATGGAAAATGGAATCTGATCTTTTTTTTCCCAGGGTAATGAGAAATGTGATTAAAATGTATGACTCAGAAGAACAATAATCTGATGTTTTTTGTTGCCTTGCAATTAGAATAATTTTAATGATTAGGAGTGGATTCAAAGTCAAATGCCAGCATCTTTAATAAATCCTTTCCCTGCCTATACAGATTAATATTGTAGATGCAAACTTTTTTTAGGTCACAGTGCACCAGGCATCCATCAGAAGTCAGTGCTGCCAACCCAAACACTGCCTCTGGCATATACAATTTAATTATTAATAGTATGTCTCCTAGGTAAACTGTTACACAGTCTTAGGGCCTTGTTTTGTAGTCATTAAAATTGAACATGTTTATATTATTGAAACCCTTGCATTCAGTGTGTAGGCAGAGTTGATCTTAAAGTATCCAAAGAGAATTTACCTGCAGTTCTGTTTCACATTTATAGACATTGCCCCAGTATAGCTGTGGGATATAATTTTTAACATTAACACATTTAAATACAGAGCTGTTTGTTAGCTTTAACTTTAGGTACACAGAGTAAACATGACTTTGGCATCTGTGCTTTTCAAACCTGTTGGTTGCCAGGAAATAACTTTTGTGTGTGTTCAATCAAAGTGCAGTAAGGATGCAGTAAGGATGAAGAAATAATTCTGAACAGGAAATGGCATTCTCAGATACTTTATAGTTGAAATCTTCATTGGTTATCCTGACAGAGTCTTTTTTTTTTTCCTTGGTCAGTTGTTGGGTTTTTTCCTTACACCAGGGATCGGTTTAAATTCATTTGTTTTAGAGGAGGCCTCACACTTTGTAGATGAAAGACATTCATTGGTATGCATTATAGCAACAGTGTAAGGTGAAGTCTGAATGCACTTGCCTAATTTTATGTCCTGGAATTCCTCTATTTTATTGGGAGATTGTTTATAAAAAACTCTTCACTTACAATATGAAATAATGAAAAGCTTGTTCTTTGTCTAATATTTCAGTGTTTGTCCAAGCAAACAAGTTGCAGCAGCATATTTTCTCAGCCCATGGACAAGAGGACAAGATCTATGACTGCACACAGTGTCCACAGAAGTTCTTCTTCCAAACAGAGCTGCAGGTACCACACTTGTTACCTGGGGGTTATAAAAGCATTATGTATTTGATAGCTGAGTTCAAAGCTGTACTTGCCATGACCTCCTCTGATACTTGGTTATCATCAGGATGGGAATTACAGAAGGTCAAGAGAAATTGCAGGTGATTCAACCCATGCTGCTTCAAAAAGATGCTGCCAGAAAGACACCTGGTACAGAGCTGAATTCCAGGATTCTTGCACTGTAGGTTATTGCAGCTCAAGGTATTCTCTAGGAGAAAGAAATGGGCATCCTATTTTTCTGCTTGATAGCCATAAAATGTTCAGTAAACCAGTGAAATGGAAAATAAATGTATTCTTTTGTCTTTAAATGTGAAAAGCTATGCACTGAAGTAGGAATGTAGTGATGGCAGAGAGGGGAAGTAGACAATTTCTCTTTTGACTTAATGGAGAATAAAAATAGGGACAAATTAACGTCTTTGTGGGCTGTTGTCAGATTTGTTATGATACTGTTTATTAATGGTAAACAAAAGGAGAGAAGAAAGAAAGAAAGAAAGAAAGAAAGAAAGAAAGAAAGAAAGAAAGAAAGAAAGAAAGAAAGAAAGAAAGAAAGAAAGAAAGAAAGAAAGAAANAGAAAGAAAGAAAGAAAGAAAGAAAGAAAGAAAGAAAGAAAGAAAGAAAGAAAGAAAGAAAGAAAGAAAGAAAGAAAGAAAGAAAGAAAGAAAGAGGAGGAAAGAAAGAGAGAGAGGGAGGGTGGGAGGGAGGAAAGAAGGAAGGAAGGAAGGAAGGAAGGAGCAGGAATTCACACACAGTTATGAAAAGAAAGAAACAGGAACACAAAGCAAAAATTACTTTTAACAGTAGAATTAGGACTGGATTTTGAAAAGTGGAATAGATAACTGAATTATGAGGATGCAAAGTGTAATTATGATGTGTACAATCACCTAACAAGTCTATCCCATCTAAAATACGCTTTCATTTCAAAATACATGGGCTCCCAAGCAACTGCCTTCTTTTTTTTTTGTTGTTGTAGTAAACAAACAACATGTTTTTCCACTCAAAATTTATTCCTGCCCAAGAGTAAGAAAAAGATTTAGCTCTTTCCATCTAAGCCTCATTCATTGAAACTTCAACATAACTGAGGCACCTAGTGAAGGGCACAAAAGGGCATCACTACAGGAACTGCTCTACATAGGCTAGATGACAATGTGTTGGTGGTTGCATGCTGCAGAAGGCTCTTACTAGACCCCATCTTGGCATCCTTTGCATTATGTTTTAAAAAAATGCAATGCACTCATGCCATTTGCATTTATTTGTTTGGATCACTGTCTTCTGGCTCTTACCTCCATTTATCTACCCAGGCTGGTGGAAGGGTAGCAAAGCACTCAGGCAGAGCAATAGGTACTGAGCTTTAGGGTCTGATTTTGCTGAAAATACATTGATCTCCAGCCCACTCTCATTTAAAACCTATACTAGGAGGCATTGCTTTGTTCAGGTTATCTGCCACCAAAAGCACTGGAATCTTTGGCAACTGTCCTCCAGGTTATGCTTCTCTGTCCTTTCACATTGCCTTGGTTTGTGTTGAGGCTTGCAGCATAGCTGTATGTTTATTCTATCAAGAGCAGTTCCATACTTTTTAAATTAAGTGTACATCTAACGTTCTTCTCCCATGCACAGGACACACTGATCATGTCAGATTAGAAGGTAGGGTCAGCACTCCATGGTTGTTGGGTGGAAACATGAACAAAGTAGAGCAGGGCAGAATGCAATAACATGGAAGTCTTATCCACATGTATGGTTCAGCTGATAATTAAAGGGAATTAATTCAAGCATACAGAAAATATATGCATTACAATGGTGCTTAATTTGGTGTTTGGCCCAGTGTGATTCTTCACTTAGCATTTCCAGGCTCCTGTTCAGAAAGAGTAGCCTACAGGGACCTAAGAATCCCCTCATCTACTTTCTCAATACAAAAATCAAGTAGGACTCCCTTTAGAAGTTCCCATTATTTCACTCCAGATGCTTGCTAAGTATGCAACGCAGTCCCACAGGACCACATTCCGGTGAGAACAGAGAACAAATGCCCAGTCCTGAAAATCAAACCTTCAATGTATTGCTCAACCTTCAAGTTGAAATAATGAAATTTTACAGGAATTTGCTCTTTGTTTTAAGATCCTTTTGACACTTCCTTTGTGTTCCGTACACTGCCTTTAAATGCCTTTGTGCTCAATAGCTACAGAACCAGCTTTAAACTTTTTTGGATACTACCTGCATATGGAGGAAGCAAATGGAAACCTTCTGTAACAGTTAGAAGTTTATGCTTTAAGAGTGTTTCAAGTTGTGATTTTTTGTACTTACTTACAAGGCTATATGGTGTATTTATACTTCTGAAATGGAGTTGAAAAAGTGTGTCCTTAAAAGTGTTTATTCTTTAGAATAGAAAGCTTTTAATAAGACATGCTTAACACAATAAGGGCTTTTTGTAAATAAGCCTGTACAAATAAGAAAGATGAAAGGTAGATGCATTTATAGGGTGCCTAGATTTCCCCCAAAATAATAAAATCTTCTAATTGACCTGGACCATTCAGTTCTCTATAGAGGATGGATATAACTAAAACAATGATCTCCATTAATTATCCATAATACAGATTTTTTAATTTATAAGGAAGTAAATAAACTTATCACTATTTTATAATTGAATTTCATTCATGATAAAGGAAATTGTACCTATTAAGATTTTTTTCTTGCCCACATGCTCTTTCCAGTGCCTGCTCCTTTTTGCCTTAGTTTTATTGGACATAGGCTTAGATGTTTGCTCTGATGTTTGTACTTCTCTTGTCTCTGATAAGGAGTAACCATTTCTTTCCTATTTCCAGTGCCAGTATTAATTCCACAGAATCAGAATGATTTGGGTTGGAAGGGACATTAAAGATCATCTAGTCCCAACCCCCTGCTATGGGCAAGGACAGCTTCCACAAGACCAGGTTGTTCAAAGCCCCATCCAACCTGGCCAGGGACACAACATATTGTAGTATTTCAGGGGAGGAATGAGGTACCCTTGTGGGGTGTTACCCAAAGTGAATGAATTAATTAATTCACTTTAGTTTTATGCAGATGTTGCTGGATCAGTGAGATGCTGATATCCAATAGAACTGATGAATAATTGTACACTTTTTCCAGTGTTTTATCAGTGATGATATTTAATTTTCAATATGATGCTAGCCAAGATTACATTATCTCAGCACCATTTTGCCCAATATAAAAATGAAAACTCTTTTTGGTGAATTAGGACATTTCCTTAACTTCTTGTGACTAATAATTAGTTGCCCCTGGGGTAGTTAAATGTCCCCACTTTAGAAACATGAAAACTAGGGCAAGAAATAATTGGATCAGCAGTTGCTTCTCATCCTGTTCAAAAGGGACCTGGCCTCAGTGATTCACGCCCTTGCTGCTTCCCATCTGGACTCGATCAGCACAGAATACCTGGGCATGGAGCCATCAGCCTGTAGGATGTTCCAGCTAATACAGAGAGCTGCAGCACTGGCCCTCAGTAGCAAAGGAGACCAGGAGCATATTCAATCAGCTCTCTTGCTGTCTATACTGCCTTCCTACATGTTTGTCCAGTTGTGTTCTAAGACTCAGTCCTTAATTTTCTTGGTGGACTGGCTCAAGCATATCTCAGAGATGACCTGAGAAGTTCTTCTCATTTGAAAACAATGTGGTAGTTGACAAAGTTCTGCTTTGTGAGCAGTTCTAGCAAAGAGCTGGACATTTTTCCTCAGAAGCTAGAACTTCCTCACAGACTGGCCCATGAGAGCATGGAACAAATTTCCACAGCAGTTAAGTATCACAACACATGTCCTTGCCTTAGGTTTTTAAGAGCAGGACGCACCTACATGTACCAAAGGCTCCCTTCTCTCATACAAACGTATACCTGTATGTAGATTTCTAAACCTTCCCCAAAATCCCAACCCACAGCAACAGAACTCTACCAAAACACACAGCTCGTTCCCCAGGGAAGGGATGAAAGAAAGAATGAAGCACTTATAGCAGATGTTACTCATGTCGCTTCAAACAGCAGGAGAACATTCTTAGCTCCCAGTACAAGCTGCTGAAACAAAGCAAGACAGAGGTAGTATAGAAGAGTCTGTGGAAGTTTTATGTAGCTTAATGTGAGTCCTTCTCTGGATTTTCAGTTTTACCATTTTCTTGCTCCAAGGTTAGCACTGTTGAAACTATTCCTCTAGTTTCCTCCTCACTTCTTTAAGGGTTAAACTTTCCAAAGATCTCAGCATTGAAAAATGCTCCCAAAAACTCAACATTTTAAAACAGCCTTTAAAATACCCTTGACCTGAGCTGGAGCAGAACTAAGCAAGCTCTAGGCTATTTCAAGAACTAAAGGCTTGACTGAGACCTTTAGTGGAGACAGTGGCAGAGCTGGGATTCAAACACTATGTTCCCTCATTTGGGGGTCAGCTAGAGAAAACTGCTAATTAACCTGGGCTGGGGTTGTCTCCTTGTAGCAGAGGCCTTCTGGGGCTAGCTGGGAAAGAGGTTGGTGTAGGAATAGCATCAGCCATAGCAGCAGCAGCACAGTTATCTCCATCTAGGATTGTGTTGTCAAGGCCCCTCCAGTAGTTGAGTCTGTGTACCATGTAGGTCCCAACAGCATGGGAGACTGTGAATTATTTATGCTCTTTACACAAAAACAGGCACAAAACTTTTAAACCTGCAGGATGTTTTTCCACAAAGAAAAGGCCTCAAAGCATTTTTTTTAAGTGAAATTGGAGATTAGTTTTGGCATTTCTAGGTCCCCAAGCTCTTAGGGTGAGGAGTGGAACATAGATGCTGGCTTTCTAGGCCCCAAAGGCCAGGAGCCAGCAGGGAATAACTTTGTCAGCTCTTCTTAAAAAGAAGCCTACCTGGAATCCAATTAACAGTCAAAGCTTTAGGCCAGCATTTTCAAACTCAGTGGCCTATTTCTGAGAGGGTGCTGAGCACCTCCAGCTGCAGATAAGGCCAGGGCAAGATGCTGGTGCTGAGTACATCAGGAAATCAGGTCAAAAATGCCTGAAGTTAGGAACCTTGATAAAAGCATAGGTGTTGAGCAGCCATAGCCTCATTTAAAGTTTCAACAAAATACTTTTGATGCCTAAATACAGGCACACATTCATTAATGTAGGCCCTAGTCCTTAGCAGGCAGTCAGGCTGCTTTTCTCAGAGCAAATGCCTGAGTCAGAAGAGCTGGATTCATTTGTAAGGTCAGGTATTAACTTGCTCCACATCACCATGAATGCTCTCCATCTTGTGTGTGAGGATGATGATAATATGTGTTCCAGAGATCCTAGGATTGTAATTAATGTTTGTATTAGGGGACTAAACTGAGCTGCATGCATTGCAAGTTTGCTTTTTTTCCTGAGCCCTTACTGTTCATTCTGTTTCAGATCGATATGTGTGCACCAGTATGTGCATTATCTTTCAATGTCTTTCAAGATTTAAAAAATTCAGACTTGTGTTCTTGAGATTTAAGACTTTTTCCCCCTAGAAGGGAGAATTATTTTCTTTGCAAATTTTCTCAAAAAGGCAATCAAGAGAACTAAGGTGGAGGC